TGGTGTGAGTGACCGTGAGCGCAGCCGGATGTGATTCACTGGTGTGCGTGACCGCGAGCGCAGCCGGATGTGATTCACTGGTGTGCATGTGTGTCTGCAGTGGCGGCTCCCTGGATCATGTCCGAGTGCATGCAGACATCGCAGCGTTCCAGGCAGCCACGGGGGCGTCCTCGATCATGCTGGCACGTGCGGCCATGTGGAACCCCTCTGTCTTCCGCAGGGAGGGCAGCCTGCCCCTGGAGGAGGTCATGACACAGTACCTCCGATATGTGAGTCCTCCTAGGCTGCGCCAGTTACTTGGGTGGCCTGGTACTTTGTCTTTTTCTCTTTAGGATTTGTGATATGTAGAAAGTGATATTGCATAGTTTCTAACACTTGGCTGTGAAATATTTTGTGAGCAGACAGCACTGCTGTCAAGCTCTCCTTTTACGAAGGAGAAAGTTTCTTTGTTGCTTAGCGAGTGGCCAGGTTGTGTCCTGTGTGGCAACAGTGCTGAGCTGCGTTGGGTGTGTCTGCAGGCAGTACGCTACGACAACCATGCCTCCAACACCAAGTACTGCCTGTGCCAGATGTTGAGGGAGAAACTGGAGTCTCCGCTGGGGAAGCAGCTGCATGCCGCTCAGACAACCGCAGATATTTGGTAGGTACACCTGTGCCAGCCCGGGCCTCCTGTCCTGTGGCACTGCTGCACTGTTCAGAAGGTCTTATGGTCTTTTTTCATATTTTTCTTATTTAAGGACATAAGATCACAAACAAGAGGAGACCATAGGGTCCATCAAACCATTAGATTGCATCATCGGGAATCTTATCCACCCTAAGAAGAAACAGACTTGACCTTTTAAATAATACTGTAAAATAAAGTCAGTGGGCTGAATAGCCTTTACTCCTTTATAACCTTTTGGTTACCACTGCCCTCCCAGCGGTGTTTTGGTGAGAGTGTCTCAAATGCTAAATGCTTCCCTCTGCTGTTTGCAACCAGCTGTTGTAAAGCAATCCAGACTGCTGGCCTGTAGACTTGTGCAGAGGGGAGATGAAGACGAGACCTTCAGAGACCTTGGAAAAGCACATCAAACCTTGCTGATTGAGCCTTCAGCTCTTATCTTCCCCCTGTAGGCATTGAAGGGAGCTAACAGTGTTGATGTTTTGAGAGCTGATTCAATGAGTATGTGTCAGCGGTCCAATCTGGGTCTGCCTGAGAGAAGGGAAGTATCACTAACGCTCCAGCTGGGATGAGAGCTGAGTGTGTGTCTGTGCTGCATCTGGTGGAACTGAGGCTCGGTCTGTCAGTGTGAGCCGGCACTGGCTCAGGACTGAATACACCCCCATGGCACAAACACTCTCTCACAGTCAAAGGCTTTACTTTTAGCCCCAGCTGTTTTTGGCTTTCCACACTGGTGAAGTAGCGTTATGGAAACCTGAACCAGCTAAGTAATTCATTCCGCCAAGTGCCTGTGGTGAGCGAGACCAACGTCAGGGCGGCTTCGGCAGAGACAGCTGTCCTGATGACTGAATTCCTTTGTCTTACCCTCTGGTCCCGTCTGGCCACAGCGAGGTGTTTGGGCTTCAGGACTTCTGGAAGGAGACAGAAGATAGACTTCAGCACCGACAGTCCACTGTCCCAGCCAAGAACCTCAACACAGAGGATCTTTCCGAGGACTCCGACGTCATCAAAATGCCAGTGAAGTTTGACAGGTTTGATTTTTTTTCATACTGTGTGTGAATTAAAGAAATTCTGTTCCTAAATTGATCTACAGAAAGTCCTCTCTGCTGAGGAGCATCTCATTTGGTGTGTCGTGATCTCAGCAGACCTGGAACTGGCCAGAGGCTGCCACCTAGTGGATAAGTAGATAAGTGCAGAGAAGGTGTGTTCACTTGTTTTTTCACTGAAGTGCAGTGGTGGGCAACAGTCCCCTGTTCTATAGCTCATATGTCCCCTTGTGCTCATATTCCAGGAGAGAATACGCTCCTCAGATCACACCCAAGATGTTCCTGCTGGAGTGGAGTCGAAAGGAGAAGCTGCCCCAGCCTGTGTATGAGACGGTGAGACTGGGGTGTTCTACCACATTTTAATTTCTTGCTGGGGAAACTGATAGCAAATCAGTAGTTAAAAAGAGACTCTTGTGGCCCCAGCGTAGCAGCGGACAGAATGAAGTGGCCTTGTGTTCAGGACTGTTACTCCAGACACAGCAGAGGACGGCGAGTGTGTTCTTTGTCCAGTGTTTTTGACCTGGGCCAGTGTGGTCCAGCATGGTCCTGCATATTGTCCAGTGTGTGTGACTTTATCCGGGGTGTGACCTGGGCCAGTGTGGTCCAGTGTGTGAGTAACCAGGCTCTCTTCCTGCAGGTTCAGAGACCTCTGGACAGATTCTTCTGCTCCACTGTGACGGCGGCTGGCAGGAAGTACAGATCTACTGTGTGGTTAGTGTGCAGGAAGCTAATAATAATTTCTTACACTTCTACAGCACTTTTCTGGACACTCCACTCTCTAGACATTAAGCTTCACATTACTCTGAGAGATATGCTTCTTTTCCCTTCTTGTGCTCCTCTCCTTTCCTGCTCTTTTTAACCTGCCCCTTTTTCAAGCTGCAGCTGGTCAGCCTGACTCTAACGCTGCCTAACACTGCCCCCCCTCTCCAGGGACAAGTCCAAGAAGCTGGCGGAGCAGGCAGCTGCCATCGTGAGTCTTCGCAGCCTGGGCCTGCCGGAGGGCCGGCTGGGCGAGGCCGACAGCGGCCTGGTCAACAAGAGGAGGCGGGAGGACCCGGCAGGAAGTGATGTCGCCGAGGAGCCCGCTGTCCCCGCCAGCGAGAAGCAGCAGCCCAGCCTGCCGTGGGAGAGGTGAAGCCACCGGCCTGTAGGGGGCACTTCTCCTGCTTCAGTCGCACAGGGCATCAGGCCGAGGGGCCTGTCCACACTCGGCTGCCTGGCTGATTTTATTTTTTTATCTCTGTTTTTAAAGTCCCCTGGACCAAGGGCAGGACAGATCTGTCTCCCTCCCTCCCCAGGGGACCTTAGCAGCTTCTCTGCCTGGAGACTGATTTGGCATCTTAATGGTCACAAACAGCTAAACTTTCCTATTTAATAAAGACTCTTTATTTTACACTGATGAGTGCTGTTGCTTAAAGAAATCGATAAGGCATGACAGTAATGGTGGCAGTGATGCAGCTAATGGCAAGACCAGGGTGACAAGGCTGAGGACAGTGATGGGTTTAGTGACTTGCCTCAGAGAAGACTTTTCTTTAGTAGCTGTAACAGCGGGTTTCTGAGCTGCATCTTCAAGACCGTTTATTTTTTTTATACCTTATTTAAATCAATAGCTGGACCACTCTGGCAGAGATCACTTGCACCAAAATTTGATGCCTCATATTTGTCAAAAATATACCTTAGAAAAGAAGGATGCTCATCTTTTATTCTTCTGCCAATAAAATAGTGGAAGAGAAGGAAGAGATTCAGATCTCATCAATCATCTTTCTCATACCATCATACAGGCCATCCTTTTGAAGTTTTAGTCTAGTTATTTGTGAGTGGGTTGGCTTCCGGAAAATTAAAAAAGTGTTACTATCCAGGCTTCTTTAAGATTCTTTTAGTTTTATTATGTTGTAACTCTGAACAGTGGCACGCAAGAGCATCTAAACATAGGTTTGATTTTCAGTCTGATAAAAAACAAATTCCTTATTTGTCACACTTTTTTCATACCTTCTTAGCTGTGGTGTAAGTGTGGATTTACATCCTTCTTTTCTAAGGTATGTTTTTGACATAAATGTACATATAATCAATTTCAGTTGTTTTAGAAAGGTATGGTGATCTGCATAGAAAATACCCATCTCGTAATTATTATACATCTTAAAGAGCTGCTTAGATATTGTAATCTGGTACCAGATAGAACTTGTTGTAATTATACTTAATTTCAGATACTACTAGATGAGATTAGCATCACGTATCCAAAAAGAACAGTCAAGATACATACTTTTAGAAAATTTCCGATCCCCAGCTAATTTTTCAAATCGTATCTCTACCACAGGGTGGCGCTGTGGACCAAACCTAGCGCTTCAGTCCGCTCATAAAGGAAGGTTGTATTGAGGTTCTTGGCATCGCACGTAGGGCAGCAGCTTCTCTCTCTGAGAAAATGACGCCAGACCTGTGGTTAGGGATTTGCGCCTGTGGCTGGAAGGTTGCTGGTTTGTATCCCGCGGCCGGCAGAGGAAACCTACTCTGTTGGGCCCCTGAGCAAGGCCTTAACCCCAACTGCTCCAGGGGCCCCGTATAAATGGCTGACCCTGCGCTCTGACCCCAAGCTTCTCTCCCTGTCTGTGTGTCTCATAGAGAGCAAGTTGGGGTATGTGAAAAAAGACAAATTCCTAATACAAGAAATTGTATATGGCTAATAAAGTGGTCTCATCTAACTGGATGGAACATTTAGTGTCTTTAATATATTCACATCACCAGTTTAACTGGTATAACTACAGTTTCCCTAGCTGACCATACGTGATCCCAGTCAGTGAATTGAATAATATATTTCCTATATGAGTTTACAATGTTTGTCCCCGCTAACAGAATACTCAAGATCCTGAATGCCTGCAAATACCAGTCCTGCTGAGCCACTGAGTGAAACCAACCTCTGGACAGATACGGAGAATGAAGCAGGATGTGTATTTAGGAGTGAAAATAGGTGGCATTTCGTCATGCAGGGAGTTTTGCAGGTGTTTCAGGATCTAACGTCCTAGTCACCATTTCAGTCTGGCGCCTTTTATGAGGACTGGAAGAGGTTCTCCAATCCAAACATTAATAGCAGACAAGCAAGGAGACTGGACCTCCTCTCAGTACTAACCCTCCCTTACAGTTCTGCATACGTCGAACTCCAGGTGGCCGCAGCTCTTAACCTTCACAGCTGCGTTCTGGTGGGTGTTTATGGTACCGGACAGTCTTAATCTGTAGTGAGGTCAAGGAAGCGTTCTGTTGTAATTTGGGAGTTCAGACATTCGTTTTTTGTTCAATATCTTCCTCCTTGGTGTGTGTCTGCAGCACACTACTCACCCCACATCTAACTTTAGTGCAGGAGTGTAGAGTGTGAGAGGATGATGCTGACTTTTTCAGCCACGTTCAGTTTGCAGTTTGCAGCCTATATGTGATACATCTGTATGATAACACTTAGGAACTTTATGTAATATTAGGATAATTTTCCTGTCAGAAAAAATGTAACAGGTCCATTGAATTCCATTTTTAACATACCTGATTTTATAAAGGATTGTATGACATTGATTACGTCTCATACTTTTCCTTCAAAGAAAGCAAAAGGAAAATCTTAGTTTTTACTGATTCTAACATATTTTATTCTTATGTAGATCACGCCCTCTTTGTAAGATATAATATCAAAGACTTAAAGAGGGTTACTCCTTGAATCTACACAAAATTAAACGGGAGCAATGCGTGTCTGCATGTATGTTTTTTTCTTTTTTTTTTTTCAAATTTCTTACGAGAACATAATATCATAAACCACATCTACACCCTCCTACACAATCTGCGGATATCGCACTTTATCTCCTTCTTTAAAGGTCATCAGAGAAGATAGAAAACAAAGGTAATCTGAACTGTAAACAAAATGAGAATCTTGTGTGTGCCGGTGCTGCCACATGGCAGACAGAAAAATGCTTAATCGTCACTTTTTAGGAACGACTGCGGCCCATCTCTTGTGTAGCTCAGGGCGCACAGAACTGCGAACTAGCGAGTCTTTGACAATGAGGGTGTACCGAGCAGACAAGAGCTGCTGGAGCACTGTCAGTGTGAGAGACGAACAGCTTTCGAATTAAAAGCAACTTTTCATTCTTCATTCTTCCCAGAGATCTACAAGCGCCATTCTTCACCACAAACAGTTTGCAGGTTCGGCTTTAAACAGATTTAAACAAACTGAAATTGTTTTCATTTTCCAGATATATCATTGAAAGTAAGTCGGGTTACAAGTTGCAGTCGGGTCTGTCCCAACGAAATCCAAAGTGAGGAAGCTGAAATTGAGAAAAGCTCTTTTGTAGTACGATGATGTGATTAAACCAGGAAATGAAAAACAAACAGCCTTTAAAATTATAACGAAAGTTTAAATAGTAAATAGTGAAGACCATTAAGGAGTTGTGATATCTGAGTCTGTTATTTTGCGTTTGAAAAACTACTGATTTGTGCATGTGCATTTAAAAGGAAATTTTGTGCACAGGAAATCAAAGAATTCGCGCGCATCTGTGACCGATAACACCTCTCCACCCACATTTATAAAATTTAAAGCATATTTTTTTTCTGGTATTTCCAGTCAGCAATATCTTGATAAGAATCAGCAAAAAACTCCTTAGTTTTTTTAATTCTACTGGATTGCCAGCGCAGGTCTCTGTCCGCAGCGCGTCCTGGTGGCACACCGGTCTGTCTGGAGCCCCTCTGATCCGACTGGACCCGATGACAGCGTTTAACCAGGCGGACTGCCTGAACAGCAGCTCTGGCTCTGCAGTTACTGCTGCCGACCTGCTTAACTGCGAGACGGATTGTAGTTTTACAGCTGGGCATAGCAAAAACGTGACTACGATACTGTCATTAGCACTGCAACTACGGGTTATTTCTGTAATGGAGGAATTAATGTTTACAAAAACCTTAAAGCACAGCCGAGTTGAACTTTCCACTTACAGACCTAATGTGAGGTTAGACAGAGATCACAGCACAGCAGTTCTAGGAACCTGGTTTTCACAGTTAAACCCTCTTGTGAGAATCAGGCTCCCACTGCTGCACTGTGGGGCGACTGCAAGCACAGCAGGCTGGGTGTGAGTTATCTGGACATCTTCCCTGAGAGCAGCCTGAACACACTCTGCCACAGCTCCTGACTCTCCTCACACCCTGTACACACTCTGGTATAGTGTCTCACTCTCCTCACTCCCTGTACACACTCTGCCACAGCTCCTGACTCTCCTCACACCCTGTACACACTCTGGT